AGGTGCTGCGTACTTATAGAGCAAGATTGAGATCTGGGATGATAGATGATAGAGGGGTTGGGGATAGGGCAAATCAATGTAAGAGAAAAATTACTACAGCGCCATATACAAGTGTAACAGGACGGGAGGACTATCTGAGCACTCCATTCCCCCACCCACCACCCACCATTTGTCTTAGATTTCCCGCTCCTTTTCTACGACAGTTAAAAATATACTTATCCCAATTTGGTCTTTTATGTTTGCTTATCAGATCGACAAAGTTTTGGTTCTCTGTTTACCCCCATCAAATGGTTTTTCCCTACGAGAAGTAAATTTATGTGCAACAAGCATAGACTTCCTTGTTATTTTTTTTACTCAAGCGCACCTACGCTTTGACTGACGAATCACCATGGCTTTGTTAATCACATCAGTTTGCTTCTCACACTCACCCTGACAGATCAGACTGGTGGTTCCTTTTACACGTGGTAGTGGTTGGTTTAGCAGAGGTTCTCTTTGGGGAAAACAGGGGGGAGCCATGCTCATTTTTATGTTAGAGAGGTAAATTCTTTTAAAAAATAGATTTTTTGCGATGCTGTGATACTTTTGCAAACAAACTTGGAATATTGGGGTGGGGGGTGATACTGGTTGTCTAAAGGTGGTCAGAGATTTACCACAAACTACATGATTTGGTGTCAGGCTTTCAAGGAATACTCAACCACAAGTTGTACCTTCGACTGGTAGCTTGGAAACTTATACCATCCGAAGTGTTGAACTGAGTTCCCCTCTCATGTTCACTTTCAATAACATTTCAGAGCGTAAAGACTAACGCTGCCTTGGGTAGGAAGTGAAACTCCTGGTACACTCTGGAATTTCTTACTACAAATTGGTGTTGCACCTAAGTATTGTGTACTAAGAACCACTTTGTTCGTGTCATGTGTTCCAAATGGTGTTTTAACACCAAGTGTTAATTAAAATTAACACTTGTACAATTCCTAATAAACCACATTATGCTCTAGCTCTGATTAGGCTCAAACTTTCTCTTTTATCGTGGCCCCAAACTGTCCCTTTTAATCAAGGCTACATTCATGGTAAAAGGTAAATTTTTTGCAGGATCTCTCCCCAGTTTGATATTCCACTCAGTCCAGTTACTTTCTATCAGCATTATCCTTACAGCCTAAAACTCGTTTGATATGCCTTTGCAATGACCTGGTGATCAGATATCAGAATGAAGGATTTTTTGGCTAAGTATGGTATTGTTCATTGTGACATAGAAGAAATGGTGTCACTTTCGTTCCTGTGATTAGGGACTTATTTAAACCTACTGCTTCCACTGACAAATTCCTTCTGTCTTTCTTCCTTTATGGCCTGGTAGAAAAAATGCATCATTGTAGAATTTTTTCCTTCATTAGAAAACGAATGTGCGCGGTAAGTTTTGGCAAGAAATATTTGCGGAGGACTTTGGAGACAACCTACGTTTACATACATACATACATACATACATACATACATACATACATACATACATACATGCATGCATGCATGCATGCATGCATGCATGCATGCATACATACATACATACGTTAGTTGACCACTCCCCATGGGGGCTTTTCAGGGCCAATTCCCACCCATCCCATCCCAAGGGAGGACATCCACAACACAGTATTCTCGTGCATGGGAAATTAACGTCTCCTACCCCTAACCCTGCAGGAGACG